GTATGACCAGTTTGGTCCAGAGTCGTCTCCCGGATCACAACAGACAGATGAAGTCATTTGTGTCTAGAACAGCTGTTTCTGAATAGCTGAAGGAACCATTTTGCTGTGCCAGCTGTGGCGTGTAGGTTTTGACAGCTTGTCAAGAGATGCAGCGGCTAGAGAGTTTCCCCCGGTGGCCAGTCCGGAGTTCTGCTCAAAAACTAACTGAATCACTCAGCAAGTTTCTGTTTTAATATTCCCATATTATGATTACCTGGCCAATCGGGATGTGCCATGTTAAGAGGTGTTAACAAACAAACCTCAGAACATCACGCCTTCTTTCAGATACAGGATACTCTGATTTGTGGTTAAGAACATATCTATGTGCATGAAATCACTTTAACTTCATCATCTCGTCATGTGTATAAGTGTATGGCTGATTAGCTTGTCAAGTCATGTACGCTGATTATCAGACAAATGGATCATTGCAGGACAGTATTCATTTCAACCTTATTAACTAAGGCACAGAGTAATCAAAACATTTCATTTAACCATATTGTTCATTTCATTTAATGATTAATTAACTCATATGAGCTGAAAATGTTCATTATTCAAAGGCAGGAGGAATCCTGTGGAAGAGATAAGGGGTGTCATGGTCTGCATCCTGCGTCCCCCTCATGTGTCTCCATGTGTTCGCCATCCCTCTCTAGGTTCCACTTATGTGTCTCCGTGTGTTCCTCATGTGTCTCCTTGTGTTCCCCAGCCCACTCCAAGTTTTCCTCTTAGATTTCCTTCCCCCCTAGGTCCCCAACCCCTCCAGGTGTCCCTCTTGGATTCCCCTCATGTATTACCCATGCTCCCTGTGCCCATGCTCCCTGTGCCCCTTCTTGTCTTCAGCTCCCACCAGGTTTCCCAGGTTCGCTCATTCTTTAGTTCTCCTTGTATTTATGTTATCTAGCCAGTTTTTCCCTGTAGTTTTCATAGATTCAGGTTTTCTTTTAGGTCCCTTCCCCACCGGTTTATTAGTTCTCCCTTTCTCCTCAGCTTAGTTTCCTCTCCCTAATTAGTAAACAGATTTCACCAGTTTTCCTCGGTTTCTCTCTCCCCACGCACCTGCAGCCCATCTCCCAATCATCCTGCCCCTTGTATAAAACCCTGTCTGTGTCCCAGGCCTAGTCCACACGTAGCCGGGTTTTTTTAAAAACGAATATCCGCCCTTCCAAAAACTTGCATCCACACCACCTTGTTTTAAAAAAAAACTCTGTCCACACGTACCCAGATAAATACGTTGTTAAGGACATGCCAGACCTGTAGGCGGCAGTACTTCCCCTATTCTTAACCTCATCCTTCGTCTGTGGTCTTCCGCAAGGAGCAGTAATTCCACTTGCAAAAACAAACAAGCAAAAAGCGCTTGGACAATTGATAAAGCAAGCGCAGCTCTGAGGGCATCCATGCTGTCGGGTAGTGTAAACACAGGTCGCACACGTGATGCCAGCATTTTTTGTCGCGGAAAGTGACGTTGCGGACCTTAAAACTCCGGTTTTGTCTGTCCACACGCAGACACCCAAAACGGAGAAAACGCAGATCTTCACTATGGCCGGAGTTTTTAAAAAGATCCGTTTTCGTGTGAAAAAACTCCATTTTCGTGTGGATGACAGGGCAAAACGTAGAAAAATATCTACGTTTTGGCAGATCCCCGGCTACGTGTGGACAGGGCCTTAATGTGTTGTCGGTCCATTGATGTTTGTCAGCGTTGTTTTGTGCTGAGTTTTGCTTGGGGGTCGGTGAGGTCTTGACGTCGTGAGGAGGAATGCGGATCCACGAGCTCAAGCCCTGAGTGGAGAGATTCGGTGAGACAAGTTGATTTTGTCGCTTTGTCTTGTGGTACAGAGAGAAAATCCTAGGTGACTAGAGGTTAAATTGGTTTCTGAGCGTTTTAGCAGAAAATATAAACACAACTAAGCAGATTTCTGGAATGCTGTTTTGGTATGGTTGAGAGAGAATGGACCGGTGTGATAACTGAGACCCAAGTGAGAGGTGGCCTGGCTCGTGAGTGTTTAGCCTCTAATAGAAACGCAACTCCAGTTGTCATTGTTGGTTGTGATCGTCAGAGAGAAAGATAAACAGATACCAGAGATGCTGTATTGGCTTGGTTGTTTAACGTTTTTGCCAGAAATATTGGTCTAGTAATCTGTAGTTGCCTTAGATGTTGCCTGCTTTAATTGTTGTTTGGATAAATGAGAGAGTGTATGGGTTTGCTTTGTAGGAGTGGTATCTATGTATGGCGGGAATAAGGACTCACAAACACCTTTTGAATGTAGATGGTATATTGATGTAAATGTAAATCCAGCAAATGGGGAAATGATCTGAAAATCATCAGATGATTGATGGAAAACATGTTTCTCTGGTATTTTGGTAACCACTGACGTTTTGTACTTGTAGAGTAACCTAAAGAGAGATAGCACAAGAGAGAAAAATGAGAAAATTACGAATGAACTATCAGGATTATGGTTAGGAGGATACACAGAGCGGTGGAGAGAAAGAAAAAGGTTGAAAATGTGAAACAGAGAGGAGAAAGAGCCTGCCTAAAGAATCTGAACAATCACAGCTGTGCTCTGAGTCTGAGCCACCAAGGTCAATTGCGGCCTGAAGGTTACAACTAGAAAATAAAGATGAAAAATATAATTTGAACAGGTTCTCAGAATTGTAATTTACTCATTTGTTTTTGCTATTAAGCACAGCTGTTGAGTACTTTTTTGCATTTGAGACCCTCCGTGTGGACTTCAGTAAGTCCAGTCAACATATTCCATGTTCAGAATACACGCTGTCCACAGAGGTGGACATGTAGTAAAATTTTTTGCAAGTTATTAAATGTTACAAACAATATTTGTTGAAATTTGTTTCATTCACACCTAAAGATAAATGAAAGACATTGTTAAATAATCATGGTTGAAGATTTTATAATTCATGCATCAAAAGGTTGTTGTAGTTTTTTTTGTTTCCTATATATTCTTTGTTTTTATCTTCTTTAGTTTAGTCTTGTTCTGCACCTTGGTGACATAATACATGTCTATAAAGTGCTTTTATAAATAAAGGTGATGATGATGATGATTAAGCACTAACCAAATATTTAGTTCCTGGTATTCTGGTGATTAATATAATTTGAACTATAAACGGTGTCACTTTTAGTGGCTGAAAGAGAAAGGGTTTTAGTGGAATCCCTCAATTTGAGACACTGACTGTATATCAGTACTTGGTAGTAAAGAAGTGCCCAAATAAAAGCTAAGAGTGTATATTTTAGTCAAAACAGTAATCCCAGACCAGCAAAACTATTGTCAAATTGCATTTTATCTCCTTATTTTTGTTTATTTTTAAATATTTGTCCCTGACATTTTAAAATAAGACAAGGGAGTTCTCAGCAAATGACAATCGAGCCCGGGCAACAGCAGATTTGGTGTGCAGCACCTGTTGAAGTCGAAAACTGCATTTCGAGCACTCTAAAATATCGGTTGTCATGAACTGAATCTCCTGATGTCTGTCAAATGTAGAAACTTGTTCAGTTCTCCGATTAGCGGACATTGTGATCAGAACAAGGGGAGAAACTGTCTGGAAGTAGAATTAAAATGAGACAGCAGATTAAAGCTGTTGAAGGGAATTTTCATTTAAAAATTTTTGATTGTTTAATTCTTCATGTAATCCCAGATTGGGAACTTTGAAATGCTTTGACACAGAATTTCACGCTCCTCTGTGTCTCGGTTAAACAGCAAGCAAGCATTGCTCATTTATTTGTTTATTTTTTTATTTATTATAATATTTTTTAAACAGTACATATCCAAAACATTTAACTTAAATTTAACAAACACAGACATTTCAGAAAAATACATTTACAATGTTATTTCAAATTTTATTAAAAAATTTATTTTTTTAGTCAAATTCACAAGTTGTGTTCACAAAAAGCTATGGAGATAAAAACCTTTTTAAATGGTGAGCAGCAGAAACATGTATTTTTCATTCTGATCATTTCTTTACTCATGAATTGTACAATTTTTATTTTGTTTTACAATTATGTCTTGAATAACTAAGATCAATTTATGGTTTGAGTGAACATTAATATCAATATGATTTATTAATACTGGCTTTTGTTGGGGGGGCAGCGATTTTTTTAAGGGTGACCATGGCCACCCCTGGCCACCCCTTGAAGGGTGGTCTTGGTTGACCTGCAAAAGCAGAAACCTTCACAGTCAAATGCTACAGCTTTATCACCCACACCTTTACAGCACACCTTTGGGACTGATCTGCACCTGATGGAGATTAACTGTGTAGGAAGAGAGGAAGTTTCTCCTGTTGATGGTGCTGCTTCATCTAATTCAGGTTGGTAAGAGGCTCTTCATCCAGCTGGTTTGGTCAGAAACAGAAAAAACTGGTGAATTAGTCTTAATAAATGTTGTGATGTTCTGCTGAGCTGTGGTAGCTTCATGGAGGCGGCCATTGGCCTGAACACTGCTGCTAACCACTTAATCATTCTCACTCTCCAGATTATAACATTTTACTCTCTTTGACATTGAATGTGCTACTACTACCTGTTTAATTATAGATTCACTAGGATAAATACAATAATGTTTATCTCTCACCAATATTTACTAACAAATCACAATGTAACCATAGAAACACTACTTCGTATATATGTTGTGTGTGTGGATGTGTGTGTGTGTGTGTGTGTGTGTGTGTGTGTGTGTGTGTGTGTGTGTGTGTGTGTGTGTGTGTGTGTGTGTGTGTGTGTCTGCTCTGTCTTCTCCATCCCCAGTGAGTGAGCTGCTTATACTGAGCCAGGATCCTCTGGAGGTTTCTTGCAAATAATGGGGGCCTTTAAATATGATGCTTCAATTTATACAAAATATCGGGGTTACTTTAGTTTTTATTTCCTCTATTTCTGCATAAAATACAAAAGATATTTGATTTGCCCTTTTCTTGTGTTCTTTCACCCTCCCATCCTGCAGGAGGCAGTGATATCTTCTTTGTCTCCGTGCGTCTGCCGCCAACATGTTAATTTCACAGAAGAACCATTTCGCATTTTGGAAGATCTCAACAAAGCAGACCTGTTTCAATTTAATCAAAAACGTCAAAAACATTTTTGAAAACCGACAATGTACGCCAGGACGAATGCAGGGAGCACGCATGGAGACTTTCAGGACAGAAACGGAGTGAACTACGTGTCATCGACAGAGTCTTTCGGCCACTGCTCTCAATTGTTCTGGAAAAAGGACCCGAACGATTCAGGAGTAAGAAAGCAATTTCTTAGCCGGCAAACGGCTAGTGAATACTGCTCTTGCTCACAGTCACTACCTGGAGCATATCGCTGTCGGGCCAGGTTTAGTTTTGTAGTTTAAGAAGGGACCGGTGTTGTTAGACAGCTGAATGACTGAACAATCTCATCTCGACCTCTCGATTAGCGCCTCCAGGCCTACCTTTTTAGCTGCCGCGGAAGCTAAGTAGCTACTCTTTCCAGCACAGTTTTGCTTTGATTACACCTCAGTAAATGGTCCAAGAGAAGTAAACTTTGTTTTTAGCCACATTTTATTGCTGTGTCATAAAAAACCTTGGTCAAAATATATTTTAATTTGTCGAAACATCCGCGAGCATTAGCCTGTGCTAACTTCTGTTAACACTAGCTTATTTAAGCTAACACTAGACGAGTTTGTTTAAAGCGGTGCTGTATGGGTGTGTTGTGTTTTATTACGACGTTTTCTGCTGAGTAGACGGAGGCAGGTTTAGGTTGAAGACTAAAATGATCAGCCAACAGCGCAAAGTAAACACAAGCAGACAGCCTGACAGGAAACGACAGCGGAAGACTCCCCGCGGAGCAGCATCTAAGGTCTCTTTGTGATGCTAGAGCGCAGGTTCAGTCTTCCTCCTGAGTCTGCACCGTGCACAGACCCACACGCCTATCTGTTGTCGGCTATAGGCGAAACATTTATGGCTTTCATTGCCAAATTGACAAAGTCACGTTCAAGAAATAACATTTTACTGTGCTCTGTGTTTTCATTAAAGAAATCTCCCTAACTTGAGCACATATGGTGCCTACACAATACATGAACTGATAGTCTCGGTTTAAAGGCAGCTGCTTTTATTCGTTTGCTGCTTTTAGCCGTGCCTCTTGATCTTCCCTATAGTCCATCGTTATTTTTGAGATTGTACTGGAAGAAAATGAAATAAATTCTTCCATTTGACTGAAGCTCTCCTCCACTTGTACCCAGAGAACAAAACCCTTGTTCAGTTTTGTCCATTGTGCAGCGATGTGGGGGCGTTAGCAGATGTCAAACCAGTCGAAACGTATTTTTTTATATAACAAACTGTGCTTTTTGTTCATTTTTAATTTATACATTTCTTTCATAGCCAAGTTCCACCATCAGCTGGTGTGATCAGCTGCCATCATCCTCAGCATCACTCTCCAGCTCCGCTCTCTCCATGGAGTCACGAGCTCCGCCTCCACCAGCAACAACAGCATCAGATGACATGGAGTCCGATGAAAGGCCGTACGTCTGCGATCTGTGCAGCTGTGCCTACAAACATGCCAGCTCGCTGCTCAACCACAAGCTCACACACAGGACAGGAGACTTCAAGTGAGGGTTCAAATCTCTGGCTTCTACCTTTTAAACGTGCCGCTGTCATTAATCTCAACTCTAATCTTGAATCTGCTCTCATCTCAATCAAGGTGCGATTTCTGCAGCAAACCCTACACCAACTACATGTCTCTGCGCAATCACATGCGAATTCATGGCCAGAAGCGTTACATGTGCGACCTGTGTGGGAAGGCCTTTCGCCTGGCAAGGTACCTCCGTAACCACCAGAGAATACACGACGATGGGCCCAACCGCTTCGACTGTCCTTCCTGCTGTAAGAGCTACAGAACCATGCTGGAGTTGGCGCAGCACCGCTGCAGTGCAGCGGCGTCCCATCAGGTACATTTGAGTGCTGTTGATGTCCTGATCTGTGATTGCTCATAATGCAAAACTGTAAGCACGTGGTTGTTGTAACGATGTTCAAGCAAGAGCAAATCGGATGGATGGATGGATCAATCAGTCGATTTGAACAGCAGACATTACAACAGTACGAAAATGAGCCAGAAGTCAAGATAGTCTGCAGGGTTTCCTCTAGGATAGTTTTAAATCATGTTGGTGGCTGTGTGTGTGTGCATGACTGTGAGACAACATGGTTTGTCCAGGTAATCTACTCGTTACCCCATCTTCCTCAGGTCCCTTCCTCTTCTGAAAATATTTAAACTCATTCGCTGCCAGCCGTTTTCTGATCAGAAAGCCCATGACTGCCAGCATTTTTGAGCATTTTTACGGTTTGTAGAAGAGTCACAGAATATTGTGCTCTATGATCACGTGAACACCAAAACTACCAGAAGACAGAGTAGACTCACTTCTCACATCAGGAAGAAGATTTTCCATTCTTTCACAACCCGTTGTCAAAGTGTGAGCCGCAGAAGCTTTTCTGGTTAGCGCCTCGCTTCAGGCATGGCGGTGTCCCAAACCAACCTACCAATTCATGGATCGTCTGCTTCCTGATCACGTGACGCGTAACACACATGGATGAAATCAGCTTTAGAGCCGTGGTGTTTACGCTCAAGGTGCACGAGCTCGTTCCCACTCTCGCCCTGTTAAAAACACGCAAAGGCGGTTGGATTTAGAATGACGACTTTAGTCGTGATTGGCAGTGAATGAGTTAATGCATTCATCTGAAAATACAACCAGGAATGAGTCGACAGAAAACGTACCTGACCTTAAGCGAAGTAGAGCTGAAACATTACGCACGAAGGACAAACTAAAGAACTACGACACTGTCGTTCAAATGCAACCAACCTTAACGTCAGGGTCGTTTGAATAAAAACTGCATTTGACTTGAGTAAAAAAAAAAGGTGCTTTAGAAAAATATTATTAATATTGGTCTATAAATAAATAATATATATCAGAGTTTTTCCTGCATTCAAATTAGCGTGGCGGCCGCCTCCAGCTAATTTTGTGCCGCCCCAGCCTGATTTCACTCTGCCCCCAGCTATATGGATGTTATTTTAACTGCAGTTGCAGCGTTGCACCACTACAGGGCGCTGTATCAGCAGCGGTGCACAGAAAGGCGCTAAAACCGCTGCAGAAAAAGATCAAAAATGGCTTTTCTTGCTAGTTGTTACATATCTGTGGTTGGTGCTACTGACGTCCTGATTTCCCCCAGGCCCCTCCATATCAGAGCAGGGCTGTACAGTGGTGTCTGAGCGTGTCTGTCTATTTTTAAACGTCGCACTGGTGCAACATCTTTGCATTACTATTTTCGCCAGAACTTTATTGAACAAAAGTAAATTACGTGTAAGAAAAATGCTTTTTACTGGCGCACGGTGTGGTCATCTGGATGCAGTGGAGGAAAATAAAGGAATCCGCAAAGGCAGAACCGGTCCAAAGTTTGGGATCAAAAGTGCAGCTACACGCAGATTGGCTAATGCTAAAGCTAACGGGTAGCAGTCTCACGATCAAGTGGCGCACAGAAAAACATATGATGGTCGTAAAACCAAGACTAAACTCTACAAGTGGATGAAAAGTCCCCACCATCCTGTTTATTCTGCATCCTGCAGCGCTACGGATCAGAACCGCTTCAGATACAAGTCACACAGGAGCAGGAAGTACGGCAAGCCGTTGTAGTATATAATTCACAAACGCTTCTATCTTTGAACATAATTTAAACTGGATTATTGCCAACCCGTACATAATAGACATGCCACCATTACATTGTTAGCAGCAGAAATTAAATGTTATCACCATTTCCAACACAAATGCATGTTAATGAAATGCATTATATTTTATTGGATATATTTATGTGTTATTTTGACTGAGATGAGTGTTATTAATACAAACCTAAAATGTTACTTAAATGTATTTTTAACTATAAATATCAGATGGGGCAAAAGGGAACTAAACACCAATCTGATGCACATTATTGAGCCTTTTATAATATTTATCCTTTAGAAAAGTGAGGCAGTTGAATGCACAGAGTGTGTATGTGCTGGCGCACGGTCAGGATGGTACCACCTCTGCCTCAGTTTGAGCCAGGAAAAACCCGATGTAAAGGAAAACCCCCGTATATATTGGCCCAAGTCTGTTTGTCTGCATGTTTAGTGAGAGAAAGAGGTTTTTGTATTTATTATATTATAATAGTATCATTAGTCCATGTAGTTGTATTTATTTTACTTTTATAGCACTCATCACAGATAGAAAATCACAAAGGGCTTCACAAAACTCATAACAGTCTTAAAACAGAAATAAATTAAAATCTGAATAAATGATAAATGACCCGCATTTGTATAGCGCCTCTCAGAGTAAGGACTCCAAAGCGCTTTACACTACAGGGCATCATTCATCCATTCACACACATTCACACACTGATGGTGCGCCCTGGGGCCATCGGTCCCTCCGACCACCACCAGCAGGCAAGGTGGGTAAAGTGTCTTGCCCAAGGACACAACAGCAGAGTTCTCTGTCCGGAGCCGGGATTGAACCTGCAACCTTACTCGACTTGATTACTAGACAACCCGCTCAACCTGTTGAGCTACTGCTGCCCACAAAAACAAATGAATAAAATTATAAAATACCATAAAACAAATGAAAGATGATTACATTCATTTCATTGTGTAATTTCCCACTAAGACCCAAACATCTGCTAGTACGATGGACTTCTGCTCATAACGGGGTCGATGCTGACGTTGGAAGTGAACCCAAGCTGCTTCTGCTGAGTGAAGCTCCTCCAAACCGAGGCTCATCTATGGCACAAAAACACGGTCATAAGTTCAGCTCAAGTCAAAAGCAGCACAGCATCCGATGACCTCATTGACGACTTTGCATACAGAAAACGGAGACGTGTGCATCTGCAGAAGGCTTCTTCCATTGTTGAATGAGGCTGTTCATTGGCCACTAAGTTGTAAACTTCAGTAGCACCAATGATGGTCATTTGCATTCAAAATACCCACAATGACTGTATCATTAGACGTTTGCCAATGACCTGGCCTGTTAGTGTGCAGTGACAAATGCAGCTTTCTGTTTTATTTATTGCCATTAGAATTATTTGATAATATGAAACTGGATTTATCTCATTCACACGAGCAGTAACACTGAGAAATGTTTTCCCAGTCTGACAGTAAGGATATAAGGTGGTTTAATTGGGCCTGATTGCTGCAATCCTGATATTTAAAAAAAAACTCACCAGTGAAATCTCAGCCCTTGAAACAGCAATCCTAAGTATTTTTTTCCTTTTCTGAACTTTTCATAAACAGTTCCTCTTTTCATCATAGGCTGAATGAATGAGGGGAAACTGCTAATGCTTCCATAAATCACATGTTTAATCAGCCCTTCCAAGTAGACCAGGCTCACACATGTATGTACAGGTGCTGGTCATACAATTAGAAAATCAGGACAAAGTTGATTTGTTTCAGTAATTCGTTCAAAAAGTGAAACTTGTATATCAAATTCACTCATTACACACAGACTGATTTATTTCAAATGTTTATTTCTTTAATGTTGATGATTATAACTGGCCACTGATGAAAATCCATAATTCAGTATCTCAGAAATTACAATAAATTAAGACCAATGCCCTAAAAATAAGATTTTTAGAAATGTTGGCCAACTGAAAAGCATGAAAATGAAAAGTATGAACATGTACAGCACTCAGTATTTAGTTGAGGCTCTTCTGGTCTGGATTACTGCAGCAATGCGGTGTGGCTATGAATGGCATCTCAAGTGTTTGCTACACATAATGAATCTTATTAATCAAACGGCAGCATGAAGTTTCTAACAAATCAAATGGAGCTCTTCACTCATTTGGCCAATCAGGTGGGTTGTTATAGGTTAGGTGCCCATCCCCTAGGCAGGCGGCACTTAGTTTGGATGGCTAGCAAACACCTGAGTTTGTTCTGCTTAGGGATGTCCCGTTTCAATATCGATATTGAAAGTAATTTGATATCGGCCCAAAAACACCGTAAATCGGACCGCGTCAAAAATCTCAGATATAAGCATATTTATATATAATTAGCAACCAATGGTAAAAAAAATGTCTTTTTTCATACTTACTGTTATTGGGTCTCCGATTGAGTATTATCACTTGATCAAGCTTCTTCATCCATTCCACACCACGAAATAGTTAGAAGTATGTATGATGTGTGGCTGTGACGTTGTATCGGGATCGATTTCGTGTTAATGCTGAAGGCTGCAATATCTGCATCATATCTGAAGTGAAAACGTATCGGGACATCCCTAGTTCTGCTCTTTCTGATGATTCTGTGTTTCTGCGCGATCCACTGATTGCCTTTGAAGTTCATTTTATTCCCTTTCCATGTATGTTTTGCTCACAATTTTTCTATTCCTTTTTGAAAATAACGTTTTAGTAATTTTTCATTTTTTTTATTGTTTTTAAATTTCTTGTTCTTAAGTTGAGTATTTATTTATTGCAATAATATCGCAGGTTTTCCCAATAGCGTGCAACCCTACTCAGAAGCATCAGACCTGAATGAACTAGAGATGTTTTGTAAAGAAAATGGTCCAAAACACCTTCAGCCAGAATCCAGACTCTCATTGGAAGCCATAGGAAGAGTTTAGATGCTGTTATTTCTGCTAAAGGAGGAGCTACTAAATACTGACTTCATTTCTCTTTGTGGTGCCCAAATATATGCACCTGCCTAACTTTGTTTAAACTATTATTGCACACTTTCTGTAAATCCTGTAAACTTTGTTTCACTTCTCAAATATCACTGTGTGTGTCTTCTATATGATATATTTAACTGAAAGTTTTTATCGTAACAACCAGCGATTTATACAGGAAACTCATGAAGATTAACAAAGATGCCCAAACCTTTGCACCCCACTGACTGTGTGTGTGTGTGTGTGTGTGTGTATATATATATATATATTACATATTATTCAAAAGCTAGAATTCTTGTGATATCAATGATATTTGCCTATCAAGCGTTCAACCTTAACTGTAGACATAATGAATAATGGGCCATTCCCATCTGTACCGGGTCGGCCCGGGCCGGGTAGCGTAGGTTGTTTACATATCTGGGTGGCCTGGTATTTTTCCGGGCCAACCAAGGCTCATTCTCAGCGCTCTTCTGGAGGGGGTCTGCTTCAGGCCGACCAGGGCCAACACACCCACTGCTGACAGCAAATTCACACCTTCCATTAGAGCAAGCCTCTGATTGGTGGGTAGAATCAGCCCACATGTGCTTAAGACAAGGATGTGTGGAATCAACCGGGCCAGGCTGGGGCCAACTGGGGCTACCCGGCCCGGGCCGACCCGGTACAGATGGGAATGGCCCATAGATGCACGGAAAATTTGGCCACTTCAAATTTTTGGCTGAAAATGAACCAAAATTGCATTTTTGGTTTTCATCCAAAAGACCCAAATGCTGTTTTGGTTTCATCTCGCTCCGACCTCATGTGGCTACTTGTATTGGCTTCATAAAAAACATGCATTTGTACTGATTTCAAAAGTCAAAATTTCCACTTTTAGTAATGCTGTTTTATTATGATCATTGTTTTCATTCGGGATTTGTTTTGAGCAAAACGGGAAAGACGTGAAGCGAAGCGGCTCTCACGTGATTGTTTTTAGACCAATAAGGTGCATGCATTTAGCCAACAGAAGTCCAACATGGTAGTGTACTCGGAGTCCCAAAATGCAGCAATTATAATTTCAGTATCTTAGAAACTTTTGAATTCATGAAAAAGAAGATTTTTATGGAAATGTGGAGCTGCAACACGCCTAAAGTAACACTTTGTCCTCGCTGCTACTCTCCGAATCCATGTTGTCGGCTCAAACATTCAGTGATACTTCAGTGCTGCAGCTCGTGTCAAGAGGAACAGACTTGTGTGATGAAGCAGTAGGACCTTTTATTTATATCCATCCCTCCATTTTCATCCACTTATCCGAAGTCGGGTCGCGGGGGCAGTAGCCTAAGTCAAGAGTCCCAGACTTCCCTCTCCCCAGCCACTTTGGCCAGCTCCTCCGGGGGAATCCCAAGGCGTTCCCTGGCCAGGTGAGAGAGATAGTCCCTCCAACGTGTCCTGGGTCTACCTTTAGGTCTCCCAGTTGGACGTGCCCGGAAAACCTCACCAGGGAGGTATCCAGGAGGCATCCTGACCGGATGCCCGAGCCACCTCAACTGGCTCCTCTCGATGTGGAGGAGCAGGGGGTCTACTCTGAGCCCCTCCCGGATGACAGAGCTTCTCATCCTATCTCTAAGGGAGAGCTCAGCCACTCTTCAGAGAAAACTCATTTTGGCCGCTTGTATCCGCGATCTCATTCCTATGGTCACTACCCAAAGCTCATGACCATAGGTGAGGGTAGGAACGTAGATCGACCGGTAAATCGAGAGCTTCGCATTCTGACTCAGCTCTCTCTTCACCACGACAGACCGGTACAACGCCCGCATCACTGCAGACGCAGCACCAATCCGCCTATCGATCTCACGCTCCAGTTTTCCCTCACTCGTGAACAAGACCCCGAGATACTTAAACTCCTCCACTTGGGGCAGGACCTCATCCCTGACCCGGAGAAGGAATTCTACCCTTTTCCGAATCAATACCATGGTTTTATTTATATATAATTTATTATTATTAAGTGTACACGAGTCAAGTGAAACATTTTATTTTCAGTTTTAATTTATATTGTGTACATATTAGTGATGTTGGTACACATGGTAGCCATACATACTATGGTTCTAATTATTTACATATTTAATTTAGGTGTTTTGTTTTCCAGTATTTATTTATTTTTGTTCATCCCTAACAATAAATAACCAAAGTTTTGTCAAACCATTCGGAACTTCCATATGTCCAACTCACCGTTTGAAGACTCAGCTTACTGACAGCGGAGCCATTTCCAACAGGAGTCATCTGTTTACGTCCAGAAGTCCAATAAAATTTCTCCCAATAAATTAGTTGGTCCAAAACAAGTCTTGCATTCCCAATCCAACGTGGTTTACCTCAGTAAAATATTTCCTTCAGTTTGCGACTTTCATAATCATTAGCGATTGGTCGATAGGTCAAAAGTACCGCCCTCTTTTATATTGTGTGTAGTGCCAACCAACTGCTGTGTAGTACAATGGGTACAGAAAGTATTCAGACCCCCATCAATTTTTCACTCTGCAGCTATTTTCTAAAGTCAATTCAATTAATTTTTTTCCTCATTAATCTACACACTCCATCCCATAATGAGAGAAAAACAGAAGTTTAGAAATGTCTGCAGATGTATTGAAAAGTAAAAACAGAAACATCACATGGTCCTAAGTATTCCGACCCTTTGTCAGTATTGAGTAGAAGCACCTTTAGAGCTAATGCAGCCGTGGGTCTTCTCGGTAAAGGTGTAACAAGTTTCTTACACCTGGATGTGGGGATCCTCTCCAGTTCTGTCAGGTTGGATGGTGAACGTTGGTGGAGCCACCTTTAGGTCTCTCCAGAGTTGCTCAGCAGGACTCTGGCTGGGCCATTCAAGAACAGTCAGAGAGTTGCTGTGAAGCCACTCCTTCATTATTTCAGCTGTGTGCTTAGGGTCGTCGTCATGTTGGAAGGTAGACCTTCAGCCCAGTCTGAGGTCCTGAGCACTCTAGAGAAGGTTCTTGTCCAGGATATCCCTGTACTTGGCCGCATTCATCGTTCCCTCGATTGCAACCGGTCGTCCAGCATGATACTGCCACCGCCATGCTTCACTGTGGGGACTGTATTGGACAAGTAATGAGCAGTTCCTGGTTTTCTCCACACACTCCGTTTAGAATTAAGGCCCAAAAGTTCTATCTTGGTCTCATCAGACCAGAGAATCTCGTTTCTCACCATCTCTGGGTCCTTCAGGTGTCTTTTAGCAAACTCCATGTGGGCTTTCACGTGTCTTTCACTGAAGAGAGGCTTCTGACGGGCCACTCTGCCATAAAGCCCTGACTGGTGGAGGGCTGCAGTGATGGTTGACCTTATACAACTTCCTCCCATCTCCTGACTGCATCTCTGGAGCTCAGCCACAGTGATCTTAGGGTTCTTCTTTGCCTCTCACCAAGGCTCTTCTCCCCGGTAGCTCAGTTTGGCTGGACGGTCTGCTCTAGGAAGGGTTCTGGTGGTCCCAAACGTCTTCCATGTGAGGACTATGGAGGCCACTGTGCTCTTAGGAACCTGGAGTGCAGCAGAGATGTTTTTGTATCCTTGGTCAGATCTGGGCCTTGCCACAATTCTGTCTCTGAGCTCTTTAGGCAGTTCCTTTGACCTCATGATTCTCATTTGCTCTGGCCTGCATTGTGAGCTGTAAGGTCTTATACAGACGGGTGTGTGGCTTTGCTAATCAGGTCCAATCAGTGTAATCAAACACAGCTGGACTCCAGTGAAGGTATAGGACCATTTCAAGGATGATCAGAAGAAATGGAAAGAACCTGAGTTAAATAGGATTGTCACAGCAAAGGGTCTGAATACTTAGGGCCATGTGATATTTCAGTTTATCTTTAATAACTGGCCCCGACAGAGCCCTGATCTCAGCATCATGGAGTGTGTCTGGGATTACATGGAGAAAGGTGAGGACGCCTTCATCCACAGAACATCTGTGGTTAGTTCCCACACATGTTTGGAACAATCCACCAGCGTAGTTCCTTCAACAACCGTGTGCAAGTGTACCTAGAAGAACTGATGCTGTTTGGAAGGCAACGGGTGGTCTGACCAAAACTGAACTGGTTTAGAGTTCTCTCTTGTTCATTCCCTGCTTTTTGTTGGATTATGAAAATAAATGATTAAGACTTCTATTTATTTTTAAACATTCTTCGTTTACAGCGCACACACACACACACACACACACACACGCACACACACACACACACACACACACACACACACACGCACACACACACACACACACACACACACAAACACACACACCCCTATCCAGCAATGAAAACTCGTTGCAGTAACTGAGAAACAAGCCCTCAGATCCGGGGGTGTACCAGAAGCTCTTTGTTCTGGTGCCAGGCCCTGAGTTGTATGTGTGTATGGAGGTTCATGGTTGACAACAGTATTATTTCCTTTTAATTGTACGTATTATAATCTATTATGTTTTTCTTGACCCTTTGTCCTCTTTTCAGCGCCAGCTTTTCCATGTTTCCAGCCCACACAGTGTGAGTGTGCATGTGTGTTTGCATCGGTGTACTGAAGCAGGCTTAGTCCAGCGTTAGGCTGAGTTTAAGGTCAGACTCAGGGTTAGTCATCACTCCCGCAGACGTTAATTGAAACTTATTTGTGTGTTTGTTTGTTTGTTTGTGTATGTGTGGGGTTGGTTCGTAAGAACCGGTTCAGCTGCCCGTCCTGCTTTAAGAGCTACAGAACCATGCTGGACCTGGCCCAGCACCGCTGCAGCGCCGCGGCCAAAAACCAGGTTGGTGTGAGCGTGAGTGCGCACGTGTGAAGCAGTCGCCTGAGCGATGTGTAGTTGTGGGCCAGGGCTAAGATCAGGAAATGTTACACATGTGATGGGCAGGATGAACTTGCCCGTCACGCATGTCGAACCTGGGTCGACGAAGCCTCCGACGTCTGTAAACAAACACGCATTAGCCACACTTTATAACAGCCCAGCAACACTCGATACATTAGATGAAACAAAGGACCACTTACAGATGGTAATGATGGACTTCCTTTGGGACTGCGGTTTTTTTCAGCCGCCTGAGGCTCCTTCGCCCGCTGTGTTGTATCCACGCGCCATGCAGTGGCGGCTTACAGCGGTGCTTTGTCCTAATGTAGTCCCAAGTCTAAACCTGCTCCTGGAATTCCTTCGTGTTACTTCTTACTTTTCGTTAGCAGTCCACGTGATTATTGGGCTCACCAGGAACTCGAGTCATTTTAATCACTTTTGCACACAAAATGCTAACTTCTGCTATTCGCTTCCATTGTTTATGCTAAGCTAAAGCAGACAGATGGCTGCCAGACCAGGAGAATTACTGCGCTGGTTACTAAATGCTTTTCTCTCACTTATCTAACTCTGGGAAATACAGAAATAGACAAAGTTTCACTTAGGGGTGGAATGTCCTTTCAAGTAGGTGCTATACAAATACAGGCCACTCACCATTACCACATGAGGAATAAACTTATTTTATTTTCATGGTCACAGATACAATGTTTTTTAATAAAAATCTGTTACGAGGGTTTCTACCTTACTGAATGTAAATTAATTGTAAAAATACATACGTCATCAAGTAATTACCAAAGTATTCTCAGATAGTCATGTATACATATATAAACCTATCATTTCCATGTTCGTAAAGGAAATGTTTATTTCTGTTAACAGTTGTTTACCTTTTCATGTCATAGCGACACAAATTAATTAATTTAAAAAAATTTCATATTTATTTACAAATTGCTGAACAATATTCACATTGTCTTGATTACATGAGTAATCACATTATTATGTAGGGATGTTCTCATCACGTATTTTTTTCCTGATCCGATCCAAGTCTGCCCATACCGACTCCCGATCTGATACATTTCAGCGAAGCGCTAAAATAGAAATAAAACACATCTGTTTCACTTTCACATACACTGATTTAAAAAATGTGTGCGTACATATATATATATATATATATATATATATATATATATATATATATATATATATATATATATATATTTATTTATTTATTTATTTATTTATTTATTAGGGATGCACCTAATAAAAGTTAACCGATACCAATGCAGTTGCTTGAAAATGGCTTTGCTGTAACTTGTCATCTCTGTTCACCTAATATTTTAGTTTTGTGATCATTTCTAGTCATATACGGTATTTTACTTTTTATCTACCTCACAGTCCTTTCCTGTTAAAAGCAGAGAAGAAAATAAAATCTGTATTCCAATTCATAGCATTTTTTGTGTGGTAGAAGTATCGGTAATCGGTATCGGCGAGTACTCAGATCAAAGTATCTGTATCGTATCGGTTTGGAAAAAAGTGGTATTGTTGCATCCCTAATTTAAAAATATAATATAATACATCAAACTTATATGGCGCTTTTTAGGACATTCATGCACTCTCACATTCACACACTACTAGTGATGGTAAGCTGCTACGTAGCCACAGCCGCCCCGGGGCGGTCTGACAGAGGCGAGGCTGTCTGCCCCTCTGACCACCACCAACACAGGCAAGTTGGGTGAAGCGTGTTGCCCAAGGACACAACAGCAGAATACCCCTGGTGGGAGCTGGAATCGGACCCATGACCCTCCGACCTTGAGGCAGCCTGCTCTACCTCCTGAGCTACTGCTGCCCCATGGATACAAAATGTATATTTTTAAAAGTAGCAGCGTTTCTCATACTTAAAGTTGTTTACTTCCACAATTTGCTGCTATAGGGAGCCTAAGTCACTTCCGGACGATGGGTCCCCGTAAGTAAGAAAAAATGAACGCAAGTCAACGGAGCTAAAAATGGTATTCGCCAATTCAGCTTGTTTTGTACCATGGATTTCACACATGATGTCCGTGAATTTTAAAGACACATTTTGATACCAAGAACGCGCTTATTTTCGAACAGGGGAAACACTATTTTAAGTTTTGTGTGAAAATAAGTCCAGGACTACAAATGCGCTTCACGAAAGTGACGTCATGGAACCAGACACGGACAAAACTGAGGAAAAATGGCTGTAAGTTCAGCAAACTTCCCACAGGAGGAAAGAGCCACCATAAATCTGGTCATGTGGTAAGTAGCAGCTACGCTAGGGGGGAGGAGATTATGTGGTGACGTCACATATGCAATGTGCTGATTTCTGATTTGTAGTGGTGCTAATTACGAACTTTTACAGGCTGATGAATCTCAAAGTACGTGACTGGCGTGGTCGAAACACCCATCATTAGTTTTCATGTAAATTGCAGTAGAACACATGTGATCCAGGGCGTAAGGTAAAGCAGATTAGAAAATAGCTCTTTAAGCCCCGTTGACTTGCATTCCTTTTTTCGTTCTTCCGGGACCCGTGAGTCGACTGGAAAGGGAGGAGACTTCGGCTCCCTAGATTGAGAATGAGTGTTCCCGTGATGAGGCAGGCATGCGGCGCCTCGGCCGGCAGGCCCGTTTTTTCCTGGATGACCCTGTAGCTACCACACAGCTCGGGTGCTGCAGGAAACTTAACCTGAAGTTTTGTAGTCTGTTGGTAAATTCTTTCTATTTATTAGCGTGTATCTCTCTGTCCGCTGGCTTCGTGTTTTTGTCAAACTTCACTGTGAACTGGGTAGGGCTGGGGGTAAACGATTATTTTTAAAACGATTATTCTGACGATTATTTTATCGAATAGTCGACTATTCTAATGACTATTTAGAAAATTAATCTAATGATTATTTTTCTATTGCACAATTAACAAAAACCAGAAAATCTCAAATCAATTCCTCAAAAAAATTGATAAATTCTTACTGTAAGAGAATAAACACTACAGGCCTTCCATTTTGTATAACACTGCGTTTATTGTGTTGGTTGGTTATGTTCTGGTGACGTGTAGAACTTGGGAGTGCAGGCTGCTGCCTGAGAGGTGGTAGAATATGGAGTGTCTCCATGCTGCTTTGTTTTGGTCACTTATGTGCGTGAGGCGAGTGGTCTTACGGGTTAAACCAAACTCAGGTGATATTTTACACTAAACCGAAAACCCACAACACTCTAAATGTAATAAAAGGGAGATCTACACCACAAAAAAGATGAACTCTAAACCAAAACGTAACAGCTTATCCCAACGCAAGAAGCTGTTAGCGAAGATGCTAACAGTAGCTTTACCAACGTTAAGTTCAAGTTACCAAGTTTAAATAAACCAAAAACACCCAGCAGCAAACAGACCAGCACGGAGGAGAGACTGCTACCACCAAAACAGCTCTCCTCATGTCTGAAAGAAGCTCCTTTATGAAGGGAGAAGCGCTCCCGGTGATTTTCTACATCTGCGATAGACACGAAGCAGCGCATCTGACCCCGGAAGTTGTTGTCCGTTGCCGGGAGACGAAGGGGCAAAACAGGAAAATAATCTAGTAGTGGACGGACGTTGTTCCGGGTCTTCGGTATTTGGCGGAGATGTTAGTGAAGGCGGAGAAGAGGGCGAACTAGAGGAAAAACGGGCAGATTCCTCCTCTATTTACAAACTCCAGGGGATGCAGCAAGTGGGCGTGGTGCGTCGACTTCCGGATCTGACGTCGACAAATTTTTAGAATCGAGCCGTCGACTTCGTCGAGGCTTCGCTACAGCCCTAGAACTGGGACTGTTGAACTGAGGAGACAGATGATTAGCTTTGTTAACGCCCGCAGGGAAAAGCCGAAAGTGAAGTAGTGTGTTTTGAAGGCGGCGGATCGTGGAGCGGCCTTTTCCAGCAGGTTGAAGCCCAGTATGCACACGTTACAAGTGGCTGTGGCTCTGCCTTCACTCTCTGGTTAAAATACCACCAAGCTGCAGACATCTGAGCTCTGCGTTCGCCTGCTTGCCAACAGCTGCGTCTTGGTGTCACAATTCCTGCCTGCCGTGTTGTTTTCATACAAGAAACAAATAATGTTGATGTGGAGGAACTTGTTGAAATGAAAACTAAGCCATTGTTATTCTGTTTGAAAATCTTTATCAGTTGTTTTAAAAGGTTAAATCAGATTTTTTTTTCCACCTCTCGATCCTTTTAAAATCCCATGATCTGGCCTGGTTTCTGATCACATGACCGGATCAAAGCATCCCTATTATTATGTCCATAGATTGTTTTTGTAGTAATAATATATAACCACTGCAAATCATATTAAGTCCTTCATTTGTCAGAAAATTACAGAGACGTGTGAAATAATAACCTTTTATTATGTATTGAATATTAGGAGCCGCTATGGGTTATAAGTGAATAAATAAATAAATAAATAAATAAATATTAAATCTCAACATGCAAAGTTGTGAGACTACTTATTTATTTTTGAACTTTTTAGTTTGTTTTAAAGTAAAAAACCTGACAGCAGCTGTGTTTAGGTTTGTTTCCCTGCTGAATGGCTGCTGCAGCAGGTAGGTGTAGACTCGGTCATCCTGGACTGTCTCCTCATCTCGCAGACGTTGGTCCGCTCATCCTAGAGGCTCCTTCGGTTCCCGTACTTGGGTTGTGAACAGGAGGCTTGTGAGTTGTGTTCGTAAACTAACACTGAATGTGCTGCAAGTCTTTTTGTCTTTCGTTTTTGGTGTCCAGTTAAGATTCACGTCTATTCATCTAACATGTCTGGATTAAAGTGATGTAGTTAAAAAGGATTCGTGTTGAAGTTGAAACGCTTTGGACCCTGCCTCTTTGGGAGTTGATAAAACGAGGAACTGGAACCGGAGTCGCTGTTTGCTCGGCTGTCTGACTGCTGTGCTCATGCAAACGCGTGTTGGTGAGTGTGGCTGTGTTAGGTGTGTCTGACTCACTGTTCCGAGTGTTTTCCTTTCTGCAGTGAGCCGGGAAAACTCACTTTACCCAGAGATTGTCCTGGGAAGGTCATAACAAGTCCTCTGTGTTGACGCGTTTGATGAGCCTCATCCTTGTTGTTGTTGTGGGATTCAAAGTGTACATCACTCTCGAGGAGTGAAAGTCTGGCAGGCGTGCGTCTGTTTGCACTTTTGCCGCTGTGCACCTGCACAGTGTGAAGAAAGGCGGCGATGCTGTCGGCTGCATGAGATGAGTGA